TTTTTTTTGAGACAGGGTTTCACTATGCAAACCAGGCTGGCCTCGAACTCATAGAGATCTGCCTGCCTCCCAAGTGTTGGGATTAAAGGGGTGTGACATTATGCCCAGCACAGCTCACTTTTCAATTGTACGGTTAACCACAGGACTCGTGGGATACTATATGAGACACATTTAACCATGACATTGACCGTTTAAACTCAGTGTTCTACTTCCAGTTCTAAGAATAACTTACATTTTTGAAGAAAAAAAAATGGATTTGTAAAATCAGATAATCTCAACTAATTTGTCCTAGTTTCTTTCTTCTTCCTTTCTTTTTCTTTTTTCCAGATGGAGGGGTCTTACAATATAGCCCCGGCAAGCCTGAAACTCACTATGTAGACCAGGTTGGCCTCTAGTTCAGATAACCACCTGCTTCTGCCTCTCAAGTGCTGGGACTAAAGGTGTGTGTCACCACATCCCACAATCCTAGTTTCTTATTGTTTACTTTTAAAAAATCTGTTTGGGGCTAGAGAGATGGCTCAGTAGTTAAGAGCACTTGTTACCCCTGCAGAGGACCTGGGTTCAGCTCCTAGCACCTATGGTCATTCACAGCCATAACTCCAGGGCTAGGGGATCCGACGCTCTCTTCTGACCTCTGAGGTTAGCAAAAATACATGGTACACATACATGCATGCAGGCAAAATACACACCAAATAAAATGAATAACTCCAATAAAAAGTTTTAAATATGTTTTGGAGCTGGAGAAATAGCTCAGTGGTTAAGAGCACTTGTTGCTTCTGCAGAGGACCTGGGTTTCACTCCCAGCATCCACAGGGCAGCTCACAACCATCTATAACTCCAGTTCCAAAGGATCTGAAGCCTTTTTCTGATTTCTGAAGGCATCACAAACTCATGCAGTACATATATACACATGCAGGCAAAATATTCACACATAGAAAATAAAATAAATAATAAAAAAGCACTTGTTGCTCTTATAGAAGACTGGGTTCGGTTCTCAACACCAACACAGTGGCTCACAACTGACTGTAGCTCCAGGGGATCCAACATCCTCTTCTGATCTCCTTGGGTACCAGGCATGCCCAGAGTGAACATACATGCTCTCAGGCAAAACACTAAGACATGCTGGGTGGTGGTGGTGGTGGTGCAGCCTTTAATCCCAGCACTCGGGAGGCAGAGCCAGGTGGATCTCTGTGAGTTCGAGGCCAAGCCTGGTCTACAAAGCAAGTTCTAGGAAAGGCGCAAAGCTACACAAAGAAACCCTGTCTCGAAAAGAAACAAAACAAAACAACAAACAAAAAAAACCAAACCAAACCAAACAAAACACTAAGACACATAAATTTTTTAAAATTTAATTTTGAGTATTGACTACTTTAGTGGTATCTAACAATGTTATACTCGCATGGCCAATTTGTTATACACTTACATATAGTGCCAATTTGCACCTAGAAACATGACCAGTGGTTCACTTATTATGACCTATAATTATTAATATATTAATTAAATAATAATTAAACAGTCATGAAATCATACAGCCCACTCAATTGATAACCTGAAGAAAGTTAGACAACTCTCCTGTTTCTTATTCAGAACACGTCTCATTTGCTCTTGGTTTGGCTTGTGACTCTTTCTTTAAAGGATGGCAACTGGGGCAAGGTCTCTCTCTAGCTGAGGCTGACCTGGAACTAACTGTAGCCCAGGATGGCCTCTTAACTCATGGTGATCCTCTTAACTGAGCATCTAGAGTACTGGAATTACATGCATGACCCATCACACCCAGCCTGGCATGCCTTTTTAATTGCAGTTCTAATTATTTTCATTAATTTTATTTTATTATTATTTTTTAAAGATTTATTTATTTATTATGTATACAGTGTTCTGTTTGCATGTATCCCTGCAGGCCAGAAGAGGGAGCCAGATCTCATTACAGATGGTTGGGAGCCACCATATGGGTGCTGGGAATTGAACTCAGGACCTCTGGAAGAACACTGGAAGAACAGGCAGTGTTCTTAACCTCTGAGCCATCTCTCCAGCCCTATTTTCATTAATTTTAAAATAACCTGTTTATTATGAGACAGTCTCATGTAGCCCAGGCTAGCCTTGAATTCTTGATCCTCTTCCTTCTGCCTCCTGAGGGCTGAGGTTGTAAGTGTGAGCCGCCGTGGCCACTTTCTCAAATCCATTTGTTTTCTACGTAAATATTTATATCTGTACTCATTTGTTAAGATAAACTTAGCCTTTAAATGGACAGCTCATTTATAAATAATAGAAAGAAAACACTTGTTAAAATCTGTTTAGCCTGAGGTTAGAAATAACTGTAACTGTAACAAGTGTGAACTGTGATTGACAACCTTAGATTAAATAATTCTACTTAACAATCTGACAACAAAATTTATTTATTTATTTTTGGTTAAAATTCACTGTTCAATAATTTGACCATGAGTTTGAGGCCAGCCTGGTCTACAGAGCTAGTTCTAGGACAGTCAAAGCTATATACACAAAGAAACCCAGTCTCAAAAAAACAAAACAAACAAACAAAACTGACCAAAAGTAGATGCGTAATTCTCCTCCTGGACATCTATTTTTTTCTTTTTTTGAGACCAGGTGTCGGTATCCCTAGCTGGCCTAGAAATCACCATGTAGCCCTTGAACTTCTGATCCTTCTGCTTCCATCTCTGGAGTGCTGAGATAGGCAGGTACAATCACATTCTGTTTTACGCAGGGCTTCATGCCTGCTAAGCAAACCTCGATCAACTGAGCTATATCCTAGCTTTTTCTTCTTAAGTCAACAGAAGTAGTTCAAGATTTTCACAAAAATACTGAGGGGTAGGGGGAAAGCAACGGTAACTGGTTCATACCAGTCAGTAAGCCAACCAACCAACCTGCTCTAAATGCCTTAAAATCTAGTTCTCCTCGACTAGCTCTAAAATATTCATTTCTCCTAAATATTAGTTTTACTCTCCATTTACCACATACAAATCAACAAGGAGGGCTGGATAGATGCTCAGCAGTACTGACGTTCTTCCTGAGGAACAGTGTTGACGTCCCAGCATCCACGTGGTGGCTCACAGCCATCTATAACTCCAATTCCAGGCAACCAAAGCCCTGTTCTGGCTTCTGCAGGCACCAGGCACACACGTGGTACAAAAACATATGCAGGCTAAACACCCATACACATTACATAAAATAATAATTTAAAATATCAACAAGGAACTGAGCATCGCCGGTTAAATCTGTCACATACTGTAACTTACAATTTGGAAAAGCCTTAATTACGGCTAATGGAGAAAAGGCTTGCTTCAAACTGATGCTCAGTCTATAGTTTCTCATTCTTTTTAGTTTGAGGGGCCTAACTGGAACGAAAACCTTTCCTGTGGCCACATGCAAAAGGGCGCTGCAACAAGTTTGAAGGAAATGCTACGACACGGGAGGCTAATTTGCTTCTATCAACATGGAATAAATATGGGAAGAAAAATCGCTCATCAACAACCATTAGACCTTGCAGAACTTTCGGCGAATTAAGTTGGGACTGCAGGCGCGTACCCACCACAGAGACGTGAAATCAGGCATCCATTCCCAGCGGTACCGCTTTTTGTCCGGGGACTTACTCCCGGCACACCTCACTCAGAGACGCGAGCATCCAGGAAAGCTAGGTTACATCTCCCTGGTGCCGCCAGGGTGATCTCAAAGACCGCAGCACCGCGCCTCTCCCACTTCTGGCTGGGTTTCAGACGGACTCCACAGTCCCGAGGAGCCGAGAGGTCGACTCCGCAGGAAGATCTAAGCCTGTGTGCCTGGCCTGATCTCTGCAGCTCCCCGGAGCCGCCCTCATCCCAGTACCCAGAATGATGATGGAGCCCAGGCTTCTCCCCCGCCAGCCAAGCACTCCGCAAGTCACTTCCCCAAGCCTCTGACCCACCGCAAATCCCTCCTTCCTCCCCAGGCCTAGGCCTCCCTCCAGGGCCCACCTTTGGGGTTCCCCCTTCATTCCCGAAACCGATCTAGAACCCTAGAGAGCAAGGCGAGCGCCATCCCACGTCCCCCTTGGCTTTAAGCGCAGCGCCCCGCCCTGGGCCTGGGGACAGGAGAGGGGGGTGACTGGCCAGCTCCAGAGGGACCAGGGGGCCCCCACACTCACCATCCTCAAGCCGAGTCCCTCCTCCTCCTCCTCCGCCTCCGCCTCCTCCTCCTTCTGCCTCCCCCGTTACCAGGGGTAACTGCTGCGGCGCCGCCCCTGACGTCCCTGGCACGCAGCGGAGGAGCGGAGCAGCGGGATGGGGCGGGGTTCTGCTCCTCTTTACCCAAAGTGCGCAAGCGCACCAAAGCGCCCGCCCACTGCGCAGGCGGTCTTGGGAGTGGCGGAAGGCTGGGGCGGGCTGGCGTGCGACCCAGAGGGAGGGGCAACATCGCCCACGTGGCTGGCGGGAGCCTGAGGCCTGGGATTGGTCAGAAAAGGGGGCGTAGTGCGAGGGGGTGTTCCCCGGCCTAGCGGCGGTACCCCGTTCAGCCTTCCGAGTCAGCTACGCCTGGTGGCTGTCTCCGCGTGCATCCCTCCGGGAGCAGGTAAGGGGCCTCAAGTGCAGGCCGGTTGCACGGCTCCTTCTAGTCTCCGCGTCTCCGAGGGGAGCCTGCCTCTGCTCTCTTGGGGCTGCCAGGCACTGCGTGCCGACTTCCTCCTGCTGAAGCCGCGTGGCGGGTGGGACGGACCAGGGCTCCCATGGATTCCTCGCTTCTGACCCCGGTTGTCTTCGGCTGCCAGGCTTTGGAGTACCGGAGTTATGGGCTGCGCCTCTATCTCCACAGTCCCGTTAGAATCCGGGATAGGTGATTTCCGCTGGGTTCGGGGAGGTCGCCTGAGAGACGGCGATAAGGGAGATCGGGGACCGGTCCCTAGCATCGAGGTTAGCTGACAGCGGGAGTGTTAGATTGTCTGGGATCCCCTGGAACTCCTCTCATGCACAGGACCACTGGAGAGTTAGTTACCTTTGCCCCTGTGCCAGGCCAGGTTCTCCACACTGGTATAATCTGCCTTCGCAGAAAGTGTGTTCTTCCTAGTGGAATGCTTCTTACTCAGAATTTATTTCCGTACAACTCTAGAAGTCAGTTGTTGTAGGTGACTTGGGACACGAACTAATGTGTAAGCTGTTTGTTTTACAGTGTTACTTGTAAACACTTTGGCCCAGGTAGGAGTGCCAGGAGTTCATTGGGGAATGAACCCTGAATGCAGGGCCTTGTGCAGGGCAGGCAAGCACTCTACCACTGAGCTACACTGTATCCCTCCCTCCAGAGTAGTTTATATCTATTAGTAAACAGAGAACTTTTGTAACAGCTGGTAGTCTAGATAGAGATGGTACCTCTGGAAGTTTGCTAATGCACGTGTACCTGTTATCTATGTCAAGTACACAGAGCATTGCCTGTCACAAGGGAAGTGCTGCTGTTATTAATAGTTTAATCTGGGCTCCAGGCTTCACCCCTCTTCCTACCAACCTAGTTAAGACTGAAGCGAAGGCAGGTTTTTCTTGAGTGGGTTTTCAGGGTTTTGTATTTGTTATGTTTTGTTGTTTTGAGATAGAGTCTCACTATGTAACTCTGGTTGACCTGGAACTCACTGTACACCACACTGGCCTTAAACTCACAAATCTGCCTGCTTCTTGGGTGCTCCTGGGTTTAAAGCATGAACCACTATGCCCTGTTCGTTTTCAGGTATTTTCAGATTCAAGTAAAGTACTTTTTATAAAACCTTAAAAAAAAAAAAAACAATCAAACAACTATTTTATGTGTGTGAGTGTTTTGTATTGAGTTAGCTTGGTACTCTGGAGCTGGGGTCAGCCATCATGTGGGTGCTGGAAACTGAATCCAGATCCTCTGTGAAAGCAAGTGCTTTTAACGCTGAGCTATCTCTCCAGCCCCCAAAATTTTAAAAAATACCAGAATGTAATTTTTAACGGGGGACCCCCCAAAGACCACCATGGAGACCGAATCCCACATGTAAAAGCAAAGAGCCTTTATTTCAAGCTCCAGAGCTTGGTCCCTCTGTCTGTCCGACACAGGTGAGAGCAGAGAGCCCTGAGCTCAGGTGGGGCAGAGTTTTTATCATAACAGAGATTGGGGTGAGGGGATTTCCAGGGTCCAGGACCCTGATTGGCTGACAGTTGTCTAGGGGTATCTGTAAAACAAAAAATAGGTGTGTGCTAGACTCAAGGATATCTGGCCACTTTATCTAATGGTTAGAATGTTTGGGATGTCAGGTACTTTCTCACCCCTGGATAGATCCCTGGGTGGTATCAGCTTAAGGTTTTTCCTGGATCTGGGTGTTGCCTGCCAGTAAGCCTGTCACAGAAGCTGTGTCTAGGCCCCTAAGCCTATCATGGCTGCTGTGTGGTCAAGCTATTTTGGGGCCCCTTCACAAGAACATCTGCTACCTGCATACTTGCATCAGATCTTTGGGGAAAAAAAGTCAATACTGAATTTTGACTAAAATGATGAGCTAGGCGGTAGTGGCACACACCTTTAATTCCAGGCACTCGGGAGGCAGAGGCAGGCAGATTTCTGAGTTTGAGGCCAACCTGGTCTACAGAGTTCCAGGACACCCAGGGCTACACAGAGAAACCATCTTGAAAAATGAAGAAAAAAAAAAAAAGTACAGGTGAGTGGTTAGAGTACACACCTCCTACACACCCATCCCCCAAATCTGGTTTCTACACTGTGGGCCCTTCTGTGGGAAGAGGCGTGCTCAGATTTCCTTCTGGAGGTGTGGCGTCTGTCATCACAGTTGCCTTGGAGTCCGATGAACGTCTGTAAGCACGGGCCTGGGCCTGCTGGTTTAATTATTGCCGCCGTTCTCCAGCTTGCTCCCGGCAACCTTGACAGTGTTCCACCACTTCAGTGGTCTTTGGTCTGGTCTTCTGGAGTTTTGAGCTGGCCTAGATCTCCCAAGGCCTGGTGCCTGCTGGGCAAGTCCTCCAGCTCAGAACTCTGCCTGGGGTCCCTTTTCTGGGCTCTGGTACCGTTTGCTAGAGGAGATGAACATTCTCTAGGAAGAAGGATCACTGCTCTTCTGCTTCACTTGTTTGCTCCTCTCTCTTGTTCCACTGTCTCTCTCACAACTGCTGTCTCATTTAAAAAGAAAAAAACTAACGTTTCTTTACTTGTGTGTGTATGTGGTGACCAAGTACCATGTGTATAAAGTGAGGACATGACCACTCATGGTGGTCTGGTTGAGGAGAAGGTTTTTTGTAGATATGAGAGAGTACAGTCAGAGACATCTGGAAGAGTCCAGAACAGGGGAGAGAAAAAGCAGAATGGACAGCCATAAGAGGAGAGTGAGAGAGGAAGACAGAGGACCAAGAGGGAGGCGGGCCGGAGAGTGGATGGCTGAACCAGGAGCAGGGAAGCCCAGGAGCTGGAGTGCACCACCACCGCCCGGCAGGAGTAGACTTTTCTTGTGCGCCACTGCTCGTGGCCCCTTTTACCTTATGTGTGTACCTGTATATATGCGCACTACATGAGTGGTGCTCACAGAGGTCAGGAGGCGTTGGATCCCCTGGAATTGGAGTTACAGATGATTCTGAAAACCACCATGTGGAGGCTGGGAACTGAACTCCAGGCTCTCTCTGTTACCACTCAGTCATCTGGTGGTTTGAATGATAATGGCTGCCACAAACCCATATTGTTGGGGGATATTTTGATCGAACTGTGACACTCGGGCCAGAGCTAGCAACTAGCTGACCGGAATTAGCCATAGAGACACCAGCAATCTGGATAGAGAAGATGCACAGGAAGGGAAGGGCAGGGACTAGAGTTTGAGCTTTCTTCTGGTTCTGGGTCGAGGCAAGAGACGCTTCCTGTCATATCTAGGAAGGGAACCCTTTTCCTCTACCATGAGTGCTGTTAGATTCAGGGAAATACCTTTGGTATTGGAACCATCTCGCAGGAGTCAAGTAGAGCGAGAGAGGCAGAAATCAGCGTTCTGCAGTGCACACCTGCAGTCGTTCCTGCCTCCTCCAGAGGTTGCCACTTAAGGCGCTGCATTTAGGGCCAGGCACAGGCGCTGGGGGCACTGTGGGTGCTGTGGGTGCTGTGGGCACTGTGGGCGCTGTGGGCGCTGTGGGCACTGGGGGCGCTGTGGACGCTGCGGGTGCTGTGGGCGCTGGGGGTGCTGTGGGCGCTGTGGGTGCTGGGGGCGCTGGGGGCGCTGGGGGCGCTGTGGGCGCTGGGGGTGCTGTGGACACTGGGGGCGCTGGGGGCTGTGGACACTGGGGTGCTGGGGCTGCTGTGGGCGCTGTGGGTACTGTGGGTTGGCCTTTTCTCTTCAGTTTCTTGCTGCTTACAGACTGGCTCCCAGTGTGTCAACCTCCTGCATCAGGCTTCCCAGCCTAATAACCACACACTCTCCACACACTGTCGAGCTGACCTCCATTCTTCCTTCCCCCATGCTGCCCCCACCTGCCTCCCTCTCCTGCATTCTTTCCCATCTTTTGAGAGAGACGGCCTTTCTTGGTTTGCCTCTTAAATACAGCGCTTCTTCCGGGCTTACTTAGCCTCACCTCCCTCTCTCTTCTGAGTAGTCTCGCTAGAAAAATTGTCACTTAAATGGCTTCAGTGCTCCAGACACAGTTCTTTCCTTAGCCTACGCATCTGTCCTTTCAAGCCCTCATACTTTCCTGCTGGCCAGCTGGACTGTCCCCCAGCAGACACTAAATACTCTGCTAGGCGTCAGGACAATCATTGAGCAAATTGAATACATTCCCCAACTTTACAGGTGACTATTTAATTAAGTAAGGTGGTACTTTAGGGAAAAAAAGGCAAATGACCCTTGTGACAGCTAATCTTCATCATCAGCTTGCCTGCATTTAAAATCGCCAAGGAGACCTCCTTCTGAATCAGTCTCTGGGGTGTTTCCGGAGCGCTTTAACTGGGTAGGAAAGACCTGCCTTAAATGTGGCATAGGTCCTAGACTGAATGTAAGAGGAAAAGGGAAAGGGAAAGCCAGCTGGGCACCGGCATTCATCTTTCTGTGTCCTGGCTGCAGACACCGCGTGCCCAGCCGCCTCACTTTCCTACTGCCATGTCTCTTGCCGTGATGGGATGCATTCTTTGGAACCGTAAGCCACAATAACTCCCCTCCGCCTGCAACTTTCATTGTTTGTTTTGTCATGGCAACAAGAAAGTGTCAGTACCAGAATTGTAAGGAGAAGGGCTGTTGTTGTGTTAGACCCCATCGTGTGGTTTGCAGGCCTGTGGTTTCAGGAGCAAAGTGGAGGAGTTTGGAGCCATGGCTATAAAAGCTCTCAGATGTTATAAGCAGAACCTAGTGGGCCGTTTTGATTGGCGTTTGGAACCCAAGAAAGCCCAGATAATGCAGACAGTGGTAGCCTGCCTGGTGAGCTTCCAGACGGGAACAAAGACCCCACTGGGAACAGGGCTAGAAATCATTCATGTTCCATTCTGGCAATTAATATGCATTCTGCGCATATCTTGAAAGTTTAAGTGAGGCCAAATTAAAAGGTAGTTGACTAAGTTATTTGGAGAAATTTCAAGACAACATAACATCTAGGCTGTGGCATGGTTACTGCTCACTGATCTTAGAACTACAGTGAGAAAAAACACAATGATATGAGGAACAGGGAGACAGGGTAGATTCGAGAAAGCATCTAGAGTTGTTAAAGAGACAGTGCCATTAAAGAGAAACCCCTGCAGGCTGGAGAGATGACTCAGAGGTTAAGAGCACTGGCTGCTCTTCCAGAGGTCCTGAATTCAATTCCCAGCACCCACATGGTGGCTCACAACCATCTGTAATGAGATCTGGTGTCTTCTTCTGACCTGTAGTCATACATGCTGTATACAAAATAAATAAATAAATCTTAAAAAAAAAAAAAAGAAAGGAAGGAAGGAAGAAACCCCTGTTCTTTTTCACTGGGATAGTAAAAGAGGTTTACCTATTCACAGCTCCACTTGGTGAAAATGCAAGTTCATTTGAAGGGAGAGAGCTGTTTAAAACAATCACCTGTGGACTTGCTTTCCCAAGTTTGGTGCATGGGAGGAGCCGGACTGAGTCTTGAACCTGTAGTAGAGTTGGAATTGTCCTTGTGGATTTTCAGGCATCCGAAATACAGGAGTAACAGGGCCGTGAATGCTAGCTCCAAAGCTTTAGAGAGCCACTGAGGTCAGACAAGTGTCTGGTGTGTCTCTAGCTGGCCTCGCCCTGCACGTCCCACAGATGTTTCTAGGGCCCCACTCCTCAGCCCCGTAGGAGACTGGACACCGGTATTCACCCTACTCTGCCTCCTGACTGCAGACACGATGTACCCAGGCACCTCACTCCTTCTCCTGTTGCCATGTCTTCGCTGCCATGGTGGGTAGGCTGTGGAGAAAGACTTTCTCTGGAGGCAGGCCTGGTGAAGAGCCGAGGGCTTCTATTTCAGAACGGCCACTTTTCCTGTCTCCCTTCCAGGAGTGCTGGGGGATATTTTGCTAGTTCGTGGTGATCTCTCATTCCGTAGTCAGACTGAGCTCCTCTGGAGCAGATACTGTCTCCCTAGTGAGAGGTTGATGGCCACTAACATGGACCCAGGAAGCACTTGCTTAGTTTGATTACCATTCACAAGGGCCCCCAGATCATCCCAGGGGGTGCCTAGGGTCTGGTGAAAGCAGGCAGTCTCTGTCTGCCAGGCTCTGGGGCAAACCGATTTAGGGGCCAGCTCTCACTCTCTTTGTTCCTTAAGTCTGCAGGAACAATATGGAGGCTGACCTGTCTGGCTTTAACATTGACGCGCCCCGCTGGGATCAGTGCACGTTCCTGGGGCGTGTGAAGCACTTTTTTAACATCACGGATCCTCGCACTGTCTTTGCATCAGAGCAGGAGCTGGACTGGGCGAAGGCGATGGTGGAGAAGAGCAGGTGAGCGAGTGGCCAGGGGCGGGGCTCTCTGAGGGAGGGAGAAACCGAAGGTGAAGGCTTTGGCAGAGGTCTCAGGAAGGAAGAAGAGCAGGGAAGACTAGGAGACAGGGATCATCCGGTCAGGCGGTCACTGCTGTTGTCATTGGGGGACAGGATGGGACTTGTGCCCCCTGGCACTCAGGTGGAGCAGCTGCTGTATGCTAAGAAGCTGTACGACTCGGCCTTCCACCCTGACACTGGGGAGAAGATGAATGTCATTGGGCGGATGTCCTTCCAGGTCCCCGGGGGCATGATCATCACAGGCTTCATGCTCCAGTTCTACAGGTGAGTCCTGAGACCGAGGAGGGAGGGGCAAGCTGGGTAGGGACCCTTGTGTTAACAGACCTCTGGGCTAGTCGCTTACCAGATCCCGGGCACTGCTGAGTTCTTTGCATGAATGGACTTTTCCCTCTCAACAGCCCTACACACAGGTGCCGTTTTCATTCCCCTTTGCTAGATGGGAGTCTAGAGGCCAAGTAACAGTTTACGACCACAGTCAGAGCTGTGGGTCTGCTGCCACTGGAACAGACCTAATAGTCAATGGGCTAGCCATCCTAAGCTTTTTGTTATTATTATTATCATCAGTATTATTTTTTAAAAGATTTATTTATTTATTATGTGTAGTGTTCTGTCTGCATGTATGCCTGCCGGCCAGATGAGAGCACCAGATCTCATTACAGATGGTTGTGAGCCATGGTTGCTGGGAATTGAATTTAGGGCGCCTGGAAGAGCAGCCAATGCTCTTAACCTCTGAGCCATCTTTCCAGCCCTTCATCATTATTATTTTGAGACAGTCGCATTATTTAGCCCTGGCTGGCCTAGAACTCTATGTAGAGTAGGCTGACTCTGAAATCACAGAGACTCAAACTGCCTCTGCCTCTAGAGTACTTGGATTAAAGGATTCACTCCTTCTCTCTCTCTCAAGACAAGCTTTCTCTGTGTAGTCCTGGCTGTCCTAGAACTCACCCTGTAGACCAGGCTAGCCTCAAAATCACAGAGTTCACCTGTCTCTACCTCCTGAGTGCTGGGATTACATTTGTTTATTTTAGTGTGTGTGAGTGTGTGTGTGTGAAGTGGGGGTACATCTGTGTGTGTGTGTGTGTGTGTGTGTGTGTGTGTGTGTGTGTGTGTGTGTGTGTGTGTGTGAAGGTCAAAGGACAACTTGACACAAGTGGTTTCTCTTTCCACCGTGTGGGACCTGAGGTAGAACTCGGGCGTCTTTACCCACCTTACCATCTCATCAACTTCCTAAGTTCTTTGTTGTTTGTCGTTATTGTAGTTTTCGTTTTTTTTTTGTTTTTTTGTTGTTGTTTTTTTTTTTTTGAGACGGTCTCCCAATGTAACTCTGGATGGCCTGGAACTGGCTATGTAGACCAAACCTCAAACTCAGAGAGATCCACCTGCCTCTGCCTCCAAGTGCTGGCATCAAAGGCGTGCACCATCATGCCTGGCTCTTCCTAAGTTCTTTTTTTTCTAATAATTTTTATTTTATGTTCACTGGTGTTTTGCCTGCATGTATGTCTGTGTGAGGGTGTCAGATCCCCGGAACTGGAGTTAGAGGCAGTTGTGAGCCGCCATGTGGGTGCTGGGAATTGAACTCAGGTCCTCTGGAAGAACAGTCAGTACTCTCAACCGCTGAACCATCTCTCCAGCCCCCTCTTCCTAAGTTCTTAAAGTAAGAATTCCACAGTTGATTTATGCTTTGAATGTGACTTCCAGATGAAAAACGAAGGGGCCCCTTTCTTGCTCTGCTTGGTTTGGAAGGGGTAAGCTTCTGATGTATGACTCTCCATCCCCCTGTCTCCACCCCTGTGTATTCATTTAGTTAGTTGTTGAGCTGAGCCTTGGACCAGGTGCCAGGGATGAAGAAGGACTTTAGGCTCTGTCCTCCAGGAGACACAGAACAGAATGGAGATTGGGAAGTGGAAGGTTGGGGGAAGACTTTTGAGTCATGGGAACAGGACACATGGAATGACTGTCTCAGGAGCGGGAGAGGAAGGGTCAGAAAATTCCAAGAAGAAAAGCATCTCAATGGGGCAGATCTCACCCGGTGTAAGGAAGAGGGGCCATTCCAGGCAAAGGCTCGTCCCATCCAAAGTCCAGGGACATGAAAAAGAGTGGGGATCGCTTAGGGAGCTGCAGATGCTCTGGTGCCCAGCACACCCCAGGCCCTCTCTTCCATCGTTCCTGCCTACCCTTGCTTGTAGGACCATGCCTGCGGTGATCTTCTGGCAGTGGGTGAACCAGTCCTTCAATGCCTTAGTCAACTACACCAACAGGAACGCGGCTTCCCCCACGTCAGTCAGGTAGGAGACCTGAGGTGAAGGCTGTCCTCTTCCTGCTGAGTGGCCCATTTGCTTTCGGACGGACAGACGGATGGCATTCCTTACTGGGTGGGGCCCACTCTGGCAGGTGCCTGGGCTGCCCTTTCCCAGTGTTTGAAATATTCAGACCAACCAAGAGTATCTTCTGCCCAGACTGTTTTCAAAAGTCCATTCATTTGACTACTATATTCTTTGGTTTTGGTTTTGGTTTTTTGAGACAGAGTTTCTCTGTATAACTCTGGCTGTCCTGGAACTCACTCTGTAGACCAGGGTGACCTCGAACTCACAGACAGATTCACTTGCCTCTACCTCCTGAATGCTAGAATTAAAGGTGTGCACCACCATTGCCCAGCTTTTTTTCTTTTTCTTTTTTTTAAAGATTTATTTCTTTTTACTTTTTAGATTTACTTTATTTTACTGTAGGAGTCTTTTGCCTGCGTGTATGGATGTGCACACCTGGTGCCACGTCCATCCTGGTGCCTGCGGAAGTCAGAGGAGGGCATTGGATCCTCTGCAACTGGAAGCTACCATGTGCTTGCTCAGAACCAAACCTGGGTCCACTGCAGGAGCAGCAGGAGCTCTTGGGCTTTAGAGATGGCTCAGTAGTTCAGACCACATACTGCTCCTCAGAGCCCCCAAGTCCCAATCCTAACACCTGTGTCGGGTGCTCCAGCTCCAGGGGCATCTGACCTCTGGCCTCTATGGGCATGCACACATGAATATACACACACATAATTTTAAAATAGAAAAACAAAAACCACGCTGAGCAGAGTAGCTCACACATTTAATCTCAGCACCCAGGAGGCAAGGGCAGAGAGAACTCTGTGAGTTTCAGGCCAGTCTGAGCTACAGAGTGAGGCCCTTCTCAAAAACAAAAGAAAAAAGTGCTCTTAACCACAGAGACATCTCTCCTGCCTCAAGGTTTATTTTTATTTGTGTGTGTGTTGTGTTTCTATTCTCCACATGTGTAAAGATGCCTGCAGAAGCCAGAAGAGGGCGTTAGATGCCCTGGAGCTGGAGTTATGGGTAGTTATGAGTCATCCCACATGGGAGCTGAGAATCAGTCCTGGAAGAGCAGCAAATCCGCTTAACTACTGAGCCATCTTGTCCCAGCACTTTCCCGAGTGTGTTGTGTGTGCCAGGCAAGGTTCTAGAAGCTTGAGATACCTGATGAGCAAGACAGCAGGCCTGTTTGAGATCTTTTAACGGGCTGGCAGGCAGACCTCTGAGTTCAAGGCCAGCTTGTTTTGTATAGCAGTTCCAGGACTGCAGACTGAGGTCCTGTCTCCAAATCCACCAAACCCAACGTGCAGAAAAGTCTTCTAACCAACAAACACAGTGAACTCGGATTGCGATGCTGTTGTCAGATGAATGGGTGACAGGGCAGCGCACAGCACTGCAGCTCCTCCAGACGGGCCCTGGGGAAGCCCCTTCTGTAGAGATGACAGCCAGCTGGGCCCTGAGAGAGAAGGGCGGTCACCATCATGCAAAGTAACTTGGGGCCGGGCAGTGGTGGTGGCGCACACCTTCAATCCCAGCACTCGGGAGGCAGAGCCAGGAGGATCTCTGTGAGTTCGAGGCAGCCTGGTCTACAGAGTGAGTTCCAGGACAGGCACCAAAACAACACAGAGAAACCCTGTCTCGAAAAGCCAAAAAAGAAAGGAAGAAAAGTAACTTGAGGAGGAAAGGGTTTATTTTACCCACAGTTTGATATAACAATTTATCATCGAAAGCAGTGAGGGCAGGAGGCAGGACCACCAGCCCAGAAATGGCCACACCCACAATGTGTTAGGTCCTCCCCTACCAGTCACTAATAAGAAAATGCCCTAAGCTGGGCAGTGGTGGCTTGCGCAGGCAAATCTCTGAGTTTGAGGTTGTCCTGGAACTCGCTCTGTAGACCAGGCTGGCCTCGAACTCAGAGATTCACCTGCTTCTGCTTCCTGAGTGCTGGGATTAAAGGCGTGCACCACCGCTGCCTGGCTGGAGGCAGTTTCTTAATTGGGATTCCCTTCTCTCAGAAGATTTCAGCATGTGTCAAGTTGGCATAAAACTAGCCAGCATAAGGATTCAGGCGTGCAGGAGCCCAGGGATGTTCTGTAGACAGAGAGCAGCCGTATGCATGGGTTCTGAGACAGGAAAAAGTGTGATGTGTTTAAGGTACTGAAGAGGACCAAGGGTGCCAGGCACTGACTGATGGAAACAGGGAGTCTGAGATGGCTCTGGAGACAGCCAGCACAGGCCTGAAGTGCCGTTGCTAGGGTTTCCCCTGGCAGCCCCGGCCTTGCCTCGACCACTGTGGACACCACTGCAGAACCTGCGCACTTCTCCATCTGGCGTTTCTCCTCCTCTAGGCAGATGGCCCTCTCCTACTGTACAGCCACTACCACTGCCGTAGCCACTGCAGTGGGCATGAATATGTGGACAAAGGTATGTATGGCTGGGCTGCTGTGGGCGCAGTGGCCACCAGAGGGCAGCAAAGTTCGAGAGACAACAGCTTTGGCTCCTTGCAGGAGTTTGAGGATCCCAGAGTGGATGTCTGGACATGTCACTAGCGATGCTTACCTGCCTTTCTTCCTGTATAATCCAGAGCCTTTTCTACCCCGACCTTCGCATGAGCTTGAATAACTTCCATTATTCCCTGCCCCCAACAGAGAGCCCCACCCTTGGTGGGCCGATGGGTGCCCTTTGCCGCCGTGGCTGCAGCTAACTGTGTCAATATCCCGATGATGCGACAGCAGTGAGTACAGGGGCCTCGCTCTTCTTCTCCACCCAAGGGTGGCTTCGCCGGGGAGGGAAGGAGCCAAGGCAGGGAGCCACTAGCTTCCTGGGACAGAGGCAGGCCTGAGAAGACCAATGGGCCCAGCCTCTGAACGGTCCTCAAGGGTGGCCGTCCTCTGTGATGGCCCAAAGAATGGTGATATAAATACAGTGTGTCGTGTGTTAAGTGAGGCGATTGAGCATGGACAGATGGACAGGATATTTTTTATTGGCGGGGCTGGGATTGAACCCCGTGCCTTGTGTGTGCTAGGCAAGCGCTCTATCCCTAATGCTGCACCCTAGCTTAGATCCTGTCAGAGCCGTGAACTCTGTCCCTGCCCAAGCTCTCAGACTGCTGATGGAGGGAAAGGGGAAGATCAGCTAATGCTGGAACAACCGGGTGCTCGGAGAAGCCGTGAGGAGGTAGCCGTGCCCAGGAGCCGGCTCAGCTCTCCTCAAAAGGGAATGCAGAAACGGCTTCTGTCTTACAGTTCTGTCTTCTTTCAGAGGTTTTTTTTTAAAGAGAGGGTCTCACTTTGTATCCTCAGCTGACTTGGGAGCTCGATCTGTAGATCAAGCTGGCCTTGGACTCACAGAGATCCATCCGCCTCTGCCTCCCGAGTTCTGGGATTAAAGGCGTGCACCACCACAGCCTGAAGATTTTGTTTTTAATTATGTGTATGTATGTGTGGGTGTGTGCACATGAGTGCAGGTGCCCACAGGGATTGGACTCTGGTTCAAACTCTCCTGGAGTTATAGGCAGTTGTGAGCTTCCTGATGTGGGTGTTGGGAACTGAACTTGGGTCCTCTTTAAAAACAGTAAGTGCTCTTGACCTCTGGGCCATCTCTCCAGGGCTATTTTTGTTTTTTGAGACAGGGTCTCACTGTGCAGTCCTGGTTGGCCCGGAACTCACTGTGCAGGCCAGGCTGGCCTTGAGCTGCATTGATCTCTGCCTCTGAGGCGCTGGGGCTGTGGCCGTGCGCTGTAGGAATGGCTTCTTCTTTTTTCTCTTGGCCACGCTGGGTGTTGAGCCTAAGGCTGACTGTGGAGCCGCATCCGCAGCCCACCTTCTGTGTCTTTGCTTTTGCTTTGTACTTTTCTAGAGAATAAGTGACATCGGGACGGGTTATCTTGGACGCCACTGCCGTCACTGTCTGCATCCGCAGCCACATTTTGTTGGCAAATGGGGCTTTCCCACAGCAGCCCCTGGGGAGAGAGCGTGCCAGAATCATGGCGGCACATCCTTCCACTCTGCCGTCCTTTCTCGGCTGCCTCGCTCTCCAACTGGGGAGTCAGGGTCTTGTCTGAGAACAGAAAAGCTACTCTCTGGGGAGTGGATACCAAGTCGGCACTGGACTTAGAGCTTGGCCAGTAGCTCATGCAATTCTCATTAGGTTCCATGAAGTAGGTGCCAGGATTATCCTCATTCTCCACATGAGGGAAACTGAGGCTTTAGAAGGGTAAAAGACCATCCTCAAGGTCACACCTATGACCAGCAGCTTCAGGAGTCCTCCAAGGCAGTGGAGCTGGGGATGTACCAAGCACAGGAGTGAAGAAGGGAGATTCTTTTTTTTTTTTAAATGTATACAGCGTTCTGCCTGCATGTATGCCTTCATGCCAGAAGAGGGCACCGGATCTCACTACAGATGGTTGTGAGCCACCGTGTGGTTGCTGGGAATTGAACTCAGGACCTCTGGTAGAGCAGCCAGGGCTCTTAACCTCTGAGCCATCCCTCTAGCCAAGATGGGAGGCTGAAGGGCCAGGCTGCAGGAGGGGTTTCCTAGAGCTTCGGTTCTTGATGTGGGAATTATGCCAGATGGATTCCCAGCAATTACTTTCTAAAGTCCAGAAACTTCTGTTTGTCTAGGGAACTCATCGAGGGCATCTGTGTGAAGGACAGGGACCAAAATGAGCTTGGCCATTCTCAGGTAAGCAGAGGAGAGACTTTCCCTGGACTTCCCCTGTCCCCTCCTAGGTGATCTCACATGTGACCTGGGTGCCATTATGAGTTTGAGAAGACCTTTCCTGGGCCCATCCTCATTTTCTCTTAAATCCCCCCCCCCCATTTCTTTGTTCAGAACAGGCTTCCCGCATCATTTCAGGTGGGAGGGTTGGGTAAGGACATGGCTCCTGTGGAGCCATCCCACCCCCTTTACCTCGTCAGCCTTGGCCGTGAACCCCGACTCTGCAGTATAGCCCACTGTGTGTGTGCTTCCTGACATCCCTTCTCTGTCCTCAGAGAGCTGCGGCTGTGGGCATCGCCCAAGTGGTTGTTTCTCGGATCACGATGGCAGCCCCTGGCATGAGTAAGACGGGAAACACATCCTATCTTGGGGGAACCCTTGCGTACCTGATAGAGGCCTCAGTTACCTCAGCTTTCAACTGGGAGGTGGGACACCTTCTCAAGCTGTTTTCCGTGAGGGCTGCAGGCCCAGGGACGCACACATGTTCTTAGAACATCAGTTCATCGGATTTGGGGGAGCAGGTTAACTTCATTTAGCTGATATTCACTAAGCAACAGTGGGGGTGTCTGGGAGACCGTGGTAGAAGCAGAGACTCTCAGCCCCCATGGTTTTCAGCAGGGGCGTATGCACAATAGGATACACAATTCGTTTGCACAGCCTGCACAGCAGTTTTGATTCTGAGAAGGACGAACGAAGTGTGTCTGCCTTCTGTTGCTGGTGAACACATTTTTGGGAAGCACGCTTTCTCAGGGACTTGGGGGAGAGTCTGGGTAGCAGTGCCCGCGCAGTCTCTGGTTTCCTGGAGCTGAGGTCTGTGATGTGACTGCAACATTGGGGCTTGGGGAGAGTCTCCCACCCCTCCCTCAGCTGCCCTGTCTCCTCCAGTCCTGTTACCAGTCATCATGGAGCGGCTGGAGAGACTCCGGATGATGAAGGTAGGAGGGTTCTCCCTGCCGAGAGCCCCGGAAATGGCCTCCCTCCTCCCCGACAGCCACCACCCCATCTTCCTCCAGTAGAGCCCATGTCAGATGTGAGAACAGGGCTTCCTGACCTTGTCTGCAGAGAGCCAGGGGGTGCCGTCTCCCCATCAGGGCAGCAGGGCCCGGCCTGGCTGCAGAGAGCCAGGGGGTGCCGTCTCCCCATCAGGGCAGCAGGGCCTGGCCTGACTGCCAGCTGGTGGGCTAGGAGGGGTGGGGTAGGAGGGGTGGGGTAGGGGGGGTGGGATAGGAGGGGGGGGTGGGGTAGGAGGGGTGGGGTAGGTGCAGGCTGACTGCAGGTGTCTGAGCCCTGTGGGGGTCTCTGTCTGTCTTGTTTGTGCAGAAGGTCAGAGTGCTGCATGCTCCCCTGCAGGTCTTGCTGTGCGGCTGCTTGTGAGTACATGGTTTTGTGGTTTGGGGTCTTTGCTGGCTGGAGCCCCGGGACCTGTCTTCAGAAGTGGCCAGGCTGAGCACAGTGGCTCATGTCACATCCTAGCACCCAGATGGCTGAGCTGAAGTTCTTCCCAGGGCCGCCTCTCCCTCAGGTCTAGAGCAGTTTTAGAGAAGATGTAAGAACGAGGAGGCAGAGGTTGGCTGGGGCTCTCAGGCCTCCCGGCCTCACAGACAGGAAAAATGACCTGTCATGCAGCGTTCTTAGGGACTCGGCCATTGACCAGTGCGTTAATCGTGCCCTCCTGGCGATAGTCCCTTTCTTTGCCTGTGTGGCACAGGTGACTTTGGCGTCTGTAGTCTGCCATTCTTCCTACGTCATTGTTTCCTTCGCATGGAGGAGGAATATGGGGTGAGGTGGAGGTTGGCGGAGGAATATGGGGTGAAGTGGAGGTTGGAGTGCGGAAGGGACACTGATTTTATCACCAGGTCAGATGAGTTAGTTTTCTGGACCATAGCTCTGTGGTAGAGTGCTTGCCTAGTATGTACAAGACCGAGTTCAATTCCCAACGGGGGTGGGGGGGGTGGGGGTGGGGGGGTGGGGGATGGCACACAGTATGTCATCCCAATAGAGGTAGGAGCAGGAGGATCAGTGTTCAAGATCAGTCTCGGCCTCCGCTGATCCTGCCCCTGGACTACATGACCCTGTCTTAAAACAAAACAGGGCATAGAGAGGGCTGGAGGAAGGCAGGTCAGATGTGTGGGCTCAGGGACAGGGTGTGGCCAGGCCAGGGACATGTCCCTAACACTCTTCTCCTTTCTTGCAGCCTCCTCTTCATGGTGCCGGTGGCATGTGGGCTCTTCCCTCAGGAATGGTATCTGCCATTTGTTGCCTGCTCTGTCTTATCAAACGCCCTGCTTCTGCTCCCACGCTGACTTGCTGAGAGAGGGATGCACAGGAAATAGATGTTCCTAAGGACAGCTGCCCAGCCACCTCAACTCTGGCTTTGTAACGCTGTGTGAATGGCACTCCAGCCAGGGCTCTGAGGAGTTGGGGGAGAAGCCAGGATTAGAGTTGGTCCCGCCCAGTGCCTTAGAGAGATGCTGGGGGGGCAACAGGAAACTTCTTGTCCTGTTGGTTGAGGGTGAGGAAGGTCACTTCTGGCTGGCTGAACAAGGCGCTTATTCTGCTTCTTCTGGCTCACCTTCGGGTCTGTGCACGGACTTGTACTTGGCGGCTTCCTCTGTGTTTCCTGGAACG